TAGAAAATAAAAGGGGCACATGTTAAAATGAAAGGTGTGCTCATCCGAGTTTAAAAAAGGGGTAGTTATTAAAAGGAGAAGGGGCACTTCTTACAAAGGGAAAAGGGGGCAGTTGTCAAAGTTAAAGGAGCACCTCTCAGTTTTAAATAGGGCAATTATCAGAGGTGAAGGGGGCACTTATCAAAAGTGAAAAGGGGCACTTCTCTTACCTGAAAAGAGGCATATACTAGAGATTAAAAAGGGCACTTATTCAAGATAATTTCAAGATTTATGAGAATGGAAAATGGACACTTATTGCAAAGGAAAGTGGAAACATGTCGAAGGAAAAGGGGCACTTTCCTATGTAAAAAGGGGCACTTTTGGGGTAACTGAAAAAGTGGGGGGGCACTGTGTGCCCCCCCGGGAGGGCCGCCTCTGACTACTACTACTAATACTTATACTAATTCTAATACTGTCTTCTACTACTATGCAACCACTACCACCAGTTCCACTACTTCTACTACTACTACTACTACTACTACTACTACTACTACTACTACTATTACTACTACTACTATTATTAATATTGATATTATTACTGAGAAGTAGAAGTAGAAGTGGTAGAAGTAGAGAGTAGTAGTATTAGTATTCGTAGTATTCGTAGTAGTACTGGTAGTAGCAGTAGTAGAGGTAGTAGTAGTAGTAGCAGTAGTAGTAGTAGTAGTAGAAGTAGTAGTAGTAGTAGTAGTAGTAGTAGTAGTCGAATTTTGCACTCACGCAAACTAATTACCCTGTTCATCCAAGCGTAAACACATACCACACATAAATGATACCAAATGATTCGGGATAAAACACTCTTTTATGAGATGTATAATAATTTACTGTTCATAGATGATTTTTTAAATGATTTATAGGTGTAAACTTTATTTTACTCACACTGTATTAGTAGTAGTAGTAGTAGTAGATGTAGTGGTAGTGTTAGTTTTAGTAGTACTAGCTGTAGCAGTAGTAATAGTAGTAGTATTGATAGAAATAATATAGTAAAATTATCCACATCAACATCAGAAATATCATTATCATCATCATCATTATCAGTAAGGTAACAAAGAACATGATTGATTAGTAGGTATATATAACTACGTTCTGTCCATGGAGCAGTCGTCTTCGTCGTCATCTTCTTCTTCTTCATCTTCTTCTCCTTTTTCATCCATTTCTTTTTCTTCTTCTTCTTTATCTTTATCTTTCGTGCATACACCCTATAATCAACAGGCTAAACAACGTAGTAATTTCAAATATCTAGAGCAAACACAATCATAAACGTTTTTTTCCAGAAAAAAAAATCTTACCAAACATGACGTACAATAACTGACATCTTGAAATGTGCAAATAGTGCAAGCATTTTGTGTAATGATATTTAATGATAGAGTATGATCGAAAGGGGTTACAAATGAAAATTCCACCAGCCTTTAAAAGCGTACGTGCACCATTTTACTACTTAAGATTCAACATCATTCATTGCATAACACGTGTACAATTGTTTTTCCATTACCATTATAAGCCACGTTTTTTAACAAGCTGCTCATTTGCACATGACACATAGAAATAGTCTTACCTTCAATAATGTTAAACTGTCAAATGTGTTGAATTGTCAATAAGTAGCTACACTATTGCAATGTTTATAATATTGTTTCCAGATGTAATATCCTCCAATAATTTGTAAAATTATTTGTTTTTTGTACACATTCAAGCATGTGAAATAAATCAAATCAAATTCAACAACAAAAAATCGAGATAATATTATACAGAGCAATATATACATCTACTTATGGTGGCCCTGAAGGGACATCGCGAATAGACTAAATCGTGAAAAATATGCGATAAAATTCACGATATCGTCAATTTTATCGCATATTTTTCACGAAGAAATTCACGAAATTGACGATATCGTGAACTTTATCGTGAACTTTTCACGATGAAATTGACGATATCGTGAATTTTATCGTGAAAAGTTCACGATATAAAGTTCACGATATCGTCAATTTTATCGTGTACTCTATCGTGTACTCTATCGTGTACTCTCCTGACGGGCGCTTCGTAAACAAAACCAGCCCTAGCTGGGGGAGACAGAGAGAAGGAAAAAAGGGAAAGGGAAAGAGAAGATAAAAGGAAAGAAAGAATAAGAAGAAGAAAAGAGGGAAACGGGGGGGGGCGAAGGGCTCTTGCCTCCTCCTCACTCCCCCCCCCCCCTCCCCGCCAAAAAATAAATCAGAGAGAGAGAGAGAAGGGAAAGGGAAAGGGAAAGAGAAGATAAAAGTAAAGAAAGAAGAGGAAGAAGAAGAAAAGAGGAAAACGGGGGAAGGGCGAAGGACTCTTGCCCCCCCCCCCTTCCCCCCCCCCCCGCCAAAAAATAATTCAGAGAGAGAGAGAGAAGGGAAAGGGAAAGGGAAAGAGAAGATAAAAGGAAAGAAAGAAGAGGAAGAAGAAGAAAAGAGGGAAACGGGGGCAAAGGGCTTTTGCCTCGTCCCCCCGCCCCCGCCAAAAAATAAATAAGAGAGAGAGAGAGAAGGAAAGGGAAAGAGAAGAAATATAAAAACGAAAAAGAGGGAGAATAGGAAAGAAAGGAAAAGAAAGAAAAGAAAGGAGGCAAGAGCCCTTCGCCCCTGTTTCCCTCTTTTCTTATTCTTTTTCCTCTTTTCTTTCCTTTTATATTTTCTTTCCCTCTCCCTTCTCTTTCCCTTTATGGCGGGAGGGGGGAGGGGGAGGTAAGAGCCTTTCGCCCTTCACCCGTTTCCCTCTTTCCGTCTTCTTCTTTTTTCTTTCCTTTTATATTTTCTTTCCCTTTCCCTTTCCCTTCTCTCTCTATCTCTCTCTCTCTCTCCTATTTATTTGTTGGCGCGGGAGGGGGGAGGAGGCAAGAGCCCCTCTTTTCTTCTTATTCTTCTTCCTTTCCTTTTTTATTCTCTTTCCCTTTCCCTTCTCTCTCTCTCTCTCGCTTATTTATTTTTTGGGCGGGGGGATGCAAGAGCCCTTCGCCCCCGTTTCCCTCTTTTCTTCTTCTTCTTCCTCTTCTTTCTTCCTTTTATATTTTCTTTCCCTTTCCCTTCTCTCTCTTATTTATTTTTGGCGGGGGGGGGGGGAGGAGGCAAGAGCCCTTCGCCCTTCCCCTGTTTCCCTCTTATTCCTCTTCTTTCTTTCCCTTTCCCTTCTCTCTCTCTCTCTCTCTCTCTCTCTCTCTCTTATTTATTTTTTTGGCGGGGGGGGGGGGGGAGGTAAGAGCCTTTCGCCCTTCCCCCGTTTCCCTCTTTCCTTCTTCCTCTTCTTTCTTTCCTTTTATATTTTCTTTCCCTTTCCCTTTCCCTTCTCTCTCTCCTTATTTATTTTTTGGCGGGGGGGGGGGGGAGTGAGGAGGAGGCAAGAGCCCTTCGCCCCCCCCCGTTTCCCTCTTTTCTTCTTATTTTTCTTTCTTTCCTTTTATCTTCTCTTTCCCTTTCCCTTTTTTCCTTCTCTCTGTCTCCCCCAGCTAGGGCTGGTTTTGTTTACGAAGCGCCCGTCAGGAGAGTACACGATAGAGTACACGATAGAGTACACGATAAAATTGACGATATCGTGAACTTTATATCGTGAACTTTTCACGATAAAATTCACGATATCGTCAATTTCATCGTGAAAAGTTCACGATAAAGTTCACGATATCGTCAATTTCGTGAATTTCTTCGTGAAAAATATGCGATAAAATTGACGATATCGTGAATTTTATCGCATATTTTTCACGATTTAGTCTATTCGCGATGTCCCTTCAGGGCCACCATATCTACTAGCAAAAACGGGTTAATAGTAACATAATGGCAAAGATGTCGTAAGATACCTAAATATGTGTCGATGCTCATTTACATATGGCATGGGGTTTTCTTTCCTTCTATTTCTTTCTTTCTTTCTTTTTTTTTTTCAAGCGTGCTACACTTGACATTAGGGACTTTTAGATTCGCACGAAGACAATGGGGATTGCCCCCCCCCCCACTCCGGGGTCGGAATGACCGCATGCGTGTTACCAAAATGTCCGGTAAAGGGGTACTTTTCACGCACCAAAGTCCGGCTCGTACATACACAAAATTGACTTTACACACCGGACTTAGGGGGTGTTTTCAAAAGGAGGGAACACGCATATGCGTACCCTGAATAACACTGAGTGGGGGGAGGGGGCGGGGGATTGCTACGATCGACATCCTTTTAATGCACTGCCTTAAATGGACGTCACACGTATCAGTCCACGCAAATCTAAAAGTCCCTATTTGCAGATCTTATTACACATTGGTATACGTGAGCTGTACTCATAGGACCATTGCTACTTGCGAGGCAGCTACTTTTTTTTATTCATCCCAATAGACCGGTTTACTAACATTCTCAAATGTATGGATGTTTCTTTCCTGGGGACCTACAGTTATTCCACCTGTTGTTAATGAATAAACTCCAATAGGCCTACTTGGAATCTAGTCTGCATATAATTATCTGTTGCCATGCCGGGCAAGTCACGGGCAAGCTTTCAGGTAATAATGTCAAGAACAACTCTTGTTTAAAGAGTATGCATACAATAGACCAGTTCACGGTTAGCACTTTACTGCAATGACCCCGAATATCCACAGATCTTCAACACATGAAGAGGTCCCACTTTGTACATTTTGAAATAATCACTCCTATGTAGCGATGGACTGGTGATTTATAAATAGCCTTTGTTCCCCCTTTTCAAAGAATACTTCCACCTGTGTACAATGGAGTGCACTGAATGTGCATGAATGAATAATGTTACATAACTTTCATGAGCACGTATCCAGTATTTCGTCTCCGTGTATTTCAAAATTTGTTCTGCAATGACCTGTATCTGCTCATGCTCAGACTGCAACCGTGAACTGGCTTATTTGAATATGTTAGTAAACCTGTCTATTTCTAATCCTTTATTTCAGAACCCTCCGCGGTTCACCGCGACATTATGTGAAAGGGGATTTTAGTCGAGTCTGGTCCCATTTTTATTGTTGGCGAAGGTTTGTGCCGTCAAGAGCACCAGCTATGCAAGATGGATTGTGGGATGCATGGGCCAAATTCGACAAGGACATTCCATCTGTCGTCGCTCCGGCGGCTGAGTCGCGCTCGTTCGCACCAGCGATATCTTGCTCAAAGATGGCGGACGTGGGTCGCTCTTGTTTCTTGAACATGGACCACACTGCCTCTCGGAATTCTCTGAACCTCAACGCGTAGATGATGGGGTTCACGCAGGAGTTGAAGAACGACAGAACGATGAAGAGAGTGGATGATGCATTCCTTCTCAAAGTCTGAGGGAGGACTCCGAAGAAGAAGAGAAAGATCGCCACTTGCACTGGTCCCCAGCAGATAACGTAGGTTATGATGACGATGAGCATGATCTTAAGAACGCGTTGCCTAGCAACGTCGTGAAAGGATGGGTTGTGCTGCCCTTGGAACCGGCGAGCCTTTAGATAGAGATGCCTGGCGATGAAGATCTGTGTTACTAACAATACTATGGTTGGGACGAGAAGTCGGAGGCAGAAGAGGTAGACAGCTACAGTGATCTGGCTTACTCTGTTGGCATACCTGTATAAACAGATACCTCTGTCGCCAACGCTGGTGGTAAAGATTCGGGGGAAAGTGGCCAGGATGGCGAACAGCCAGATTATGATTATCACCATGGCAACGCGTCTGCGTGTGAGGATACGATTGAAGTATATGGGATGGACAATGGCAATGTAGCGTTCCGTTGATATTGCAACCAGGATGTAGATAGAGGCAATGACACATATATCTTTGGCGATGTTCGGTTCTTGTATCTTGCAGTAAACTTCGCCAACCCTGGTTGGAGGAAGCCTTACCACCTTCAGGACAGGGATCATGACGATGGATGTCAGGAAATCCGCAGTAGCAAGACCTCCGACCAAGGTATCCGTTGAGCGACTCTTTGCCCTTCTTTGGAAGAGGACCATCATCACGAGTCCGTTGCCAAGGATACCAATAATTGCGGACACCATTTGAAGAATGACCCACCAAGACCACGTGATCGGGCGAAAGGACCAATCAGAGTCCGAATGGGTAATGCCAAATCCGTTCCCAATAGCACTTGATTCTGTAGCTTCGTGCAGTTCAGATGCGAGTGTTGTCAGCGCTAGAGTACTTTCAAGAAGACCAGGCCCAGAAGTCGACATGACATTTCTTTCAGCCAAACTCACATTTGAAGTTTCCATAATTAATTTGATAATCCTCTTTGTGGAAAAACCTCTTGGTATATGGTCAAGATTGAAGAAAAAAAATCGACCCTTTCTTTTTTCTTCTACTGCGCCCAGGAACCTAAGCGGTGTCTGATCTAGAGTAAAGTCAGCAATTGTTTCCAACTATAAATGTTTATCTACCGTGAAAGTATCCCCTTTATATACATTCGTCAAATGAAGTTGAGAAATTACACAATACCGACTTTATCTTACGTATACTGCTTCACCTTGGTAATACATGTATAATTCAAGGAATTGTCTTTTGGCGCGTAAGATAATAATTGCTATACGGAGAAATGTCCTTCCTGTGCGAATGTCTCTTTTCTTGCTTCTCTTTTAGACGAAATGGGATCCTCATAAAAGGCTAGATGGGCTTCAAGCCACAGGCCCATATCCATTAACCCTTACTGTACTGGGGGGGGGGGGGCCTGGGAGGCCCCCCTCGACATTTTCGGAGATTGCGCCGCAACCGCTCGGAATTTTGAATTGTCGTTTCATGACTTTTTTCCCTCAAGTCTTACGCACATTTCGATACCATTTTCGTAAAAATCGGATATACCTGTAAGGTGTTACATAACAATTAGTATGCGCATGTCATCAAAAAATTGCTATAATTGCATATATTCATGTACAAGCAGAAATGTGAAGCTATGAATTGATATCAAATTGCTTTTATATGTTTCTCAAAGTAACTTGATGTATTTCAGAACAAAAGAATACATTAGAAATAAAACAATAGATATAATAAGAAATAAAAAAACAATAAAATACATAAGAAAATAAATAGTTGAAAATCGCATTAAATTTGCATAAATTATCATTATTAATTACTTCAAATAACTTTTTTGTGATAGAAAAGAAGTTTCATTTGAATAATGAGTAACAACATTCAAAAAGTGGAGTCTGACAATTTTTGTAAGGATTCTAGTCCCCGATATATATTTCCGGATTTGATATTCATGAACGCATATTCATAATTTATGCAAATTAACCTATTAATTTTCAAATATCATAAAAATAATGAAACCTCATGAATTAGAGATGAAGGAAACACTTATTCAATACATTTTCAAGATTCTTCACAATTCTACGGACAAATATGTAGAGTTTTCTGTAAAATGCATAAAATTAGCATTTTGCATAATTAATTAGGCTATAACGACAAAAATTTGCATATTGGCGAAAAACTAATTATACCATCTTGTTCCTTACGTAAATATCTACAAACATGCAAATTTTCGCGTTCATCGGACATTCGACGGCCGAGATCATAGGGGGGGGGGCCTCCCAGGCCCCCCCCCCCCAGTCAGAGAGTGCTCGAAATAGCCCAGTACAGTAAGGGTTAAGGATCCTTGCTAGTGAATTTTCCTCGTGATGTCCATAACCAGCGGCGTATCCAGACCTTCACTTAATGTGGGGCGAAACAGTAAGGAAACCACTTTTAAGGAACCTGGTTTTCGTATGGGGGAGGATGGGGTGGGGGGAATCTTCAACAAATGACTTAAATGTATTATTGATATATTATTAACTTACCTGTGTATAACTACTGGACTTCAAACAAGATTAAAAATGGCGACTATTTTTTCTTCACCTTTACATTCTTTAGGGAGTGATACCCCCTCCCTCCACCCAATACGCGACTGTCCTTGTAACCCGTTAAAGGAAACCTCACCTCAAAGAATAAGTGTAGGAATTGTGAGAAAAAGAGATGTATTCCTGCCCTTTGATGTACAATTTATTCTTACGAAAGTGTACAAGACCTACTTTTATATAATAGGGACTTTTAGATTGAGTGGACGAGAACACGACGCACGCCGACTGATCATGCGTGTCAACGTACTTATCTGCCCATGTTGACTACAATTAAAAAAATCTTTTAGATTGCACTCGACGATATACATGCATGCAGGAAGTAACACTATGAACATCACGGACAAAAAAAGAGGACAAGATATACAGTTCCTCATTCTACCCTCAACAAAAGAACATCCCTTCACTGCTATTATGTAAAAATGTGTAAAATAGGTGAATATGCATGTGACACCTGTTCTACACATTTTTACATAATAGCAGGGAAGGAATGTTCCTTTGTACCTGAGGAACTGTATATTTTATGCGCACGCAGCATACTAGTACCTTGAGCATGTAAAGGCGCTATATAAATATCAATATGTATGTATGTATGTACTAGATTTAGGAAAATCAAGGTTGACGCATTCTCGATCGCCGACTGAGACGACGTAACGCATGCGCAGTGCCTTAAAATGACGTCACACGTTGCAGTCAAAGCTGTCGACGTGCAAATCTAAAAGTCCCTATTGAAGAAATTCTTGGCATGATGAAATGCCTTTTATCTGCATGACATGGGCGCAGCTGACACACAAGGCGAAGTGGTACATGTATCCTGCACCAAGCTTCGATTGGAAATACTTTTTAGTTCAATAACAAAACCTTTACTTTTCAATGGGGGGAACCATAACTGAGAAGGTAAGAATTATATTTGGTGAAAAATATATTACGAGGGAAAAATTGTAACTCAAATATTAAAAAAAAAATAAGTATAGCAGTTGACAAATCTATTTCATTTAGGTGAAACCTTCACCCAAGAAGAGCACCAAATTATCGATGCGATTTGCGTTCTGGCAATTGTAGTACATGTACATAGGATAATAGCAGGTTAATGAAGTACTTCATCACCACACACATCTGGGAAGGAAGATTCCATAAATTTGAATACATTTACTTGATAAACGACTTCACATAATACGTCACGTTATCAAGAAAATTGAGATGCCCATGTCGTGCTGAGAAAATGTACGTTATTCTTGCTTTCTGTCTTTCTCCGACGTTTTGATGGGGAATCTTGCAGATTAATGGGCAAGAATGCAATAAATCTCTCAGAATAACTAAATATTTCATGGTATGAGGCCTTGATGGGACCTTTAACGGCATTTGAAAGATAATACTATTTTAGAACGTCTCTTAAAAAAAAAGGGGGGGACTTGAAAATGTCTTTAAGTGGGGAAATAACGACTATTAGTTGTCAAATCGACATACGCGATAGCAATACAGTAAGTAATAGTCTGATTTTCAGACCATAGTACCGAATGGTCGTACGTTTTTTGCTGCGCAAAGATTCAATCAGTTTAATTTTTGGCCATTACAAGAAGTGGGTTATTGATGTAGACAAATGCGCATGCTCATTTCATGTATGTTATTACCAAAGAAGAAAAAGCCAGTCAGTCTCTCAAAAGTGCCTGACAGTGAAGTCTAGCAAGTAAACGGGTTTCCTTGCATAATTTGAATATTAGGATACTGCTAACGTTTACATTTTACAGATAGAACATACATGACATATTCATAATTCCTGCAAAGTTCTACAGAATTTGATGTTGGCTGCAAAAGGGACATAGTATCTTTAATTTATTTTTTTAATTTTCCTTGAAGTTCGGATCGCGCGTGAATCAAACAAAATTAAACCAGTTGAAATCAGTGCTCATGTCCTGATAAGCCTAGGTAAAAGAAAAAGTCTCTCAACCGTTTTCCCGTCAAAATATTGCAAAATATCAATCTTTTTTTTAACCTTTCGTTTCATTTATCTGTAATATTATCCCCCTCCCCCCCCCCCCCCCCACTCCGTGAACGGAGGGATACCATGCATGTTACCAAAATGTCCGGTAAAGGGGTACTTTTCACGCACCAAAAACCGGCTCGTACATACACAAAAAAGACTTTACACACCGGACTCAGGGGGTGTTTTCAAAAGGAGGGAAAATGCATAATTATGCGTACCCTAAATAACACTGAGTGGAGGGGCCGGGAATATTAAATGCCAGGCACTGTGTCGTATAACTTATTTTCTCCCTGTACTGATGTATTTTGTCATTTCCCTGTAACCTGGTACTTATATCTATATTTTAATTATATATCTTTAGGTCGGCCACTTATAAGGATTACTTCCTTTCTGGCTACTACCTGCCAAGCAACTTTCATATTGTTGTACCAATGTATTTTTTGTTTTACCCCGATTTATTGAATTATTTTGACAATGACTTATTCCTAATAGATCTAGATAATAGTATACATTCTCAGATTTTATTAAAGAATAATTTGCCAGTGTTTGTTTTGCGTGAATGCTAAAGCATGTGTATGCTACTATGCTTATCAACTATGGGACCTACGCCCTTAAGTCATAAATGACAGTAATGAGGATTAATACCCTTCAAAAAGGCACTACTATAGCACATAGACACGGTTTTGATCCTGGGGCCTCACAGTTACCAGGCCATTGCTAAGTTTGCCACTGATAATGTAATCACAAAATAGGGGTATGCCAGTGTCTACAAAATTGTATATTTTCCCTTTGAGATTTCCCTTTGAAGGTGCCCTTTTTCCAGAAAGTGCCCTTTTCTATTGGTGCCCCCCCCCCCAATTTGGAAGTCGCTCCGCCGCCTCTGCATCATTATCCAGTATAATGGGTTTTTTTTTAAATATTTCTTTAAAAGAAAAACCTGTGGAAATGGAGGGATCCAATATATCGACTTCAAAAAACATATGTATACATAGATGACCTAGGCTGGCTAGGCAACGTTCATATTACCACCCAAGGTAGATATGCATTTAATTATTTGACTCTGGGGTGTACACGGATGCAAGCATTACAATTGAAGCAGAATTACAGCGTTTGCGTCATCCGAAAGCACTCTGAAGTTCCTTTGATTTTCTTGTCACAACAAGGACAAGAATAGTATGGTACTTACTAGAAAGGAAAAGGGGCACGTGTCAAGATAAAAGGGGGAATTATCAGAGATGAAAATTAGCATTTAAGAGAAAGGGAAGAGCTTTTTGTGAGGAAAAAGGGCACTTATCAGAAGGGAAGCGTGCACTTATTAAAAAGGAGAAGGGGCACGAGTCAAAGTAAAAAAAAAAAAAAAAGGCAAAAAATATCAAAGGGAAATTTCTCGCACCTGAAAAGAGGAACTCACCAGAGATGAAAAGGGCACTTATTAGAATGGGAAAGGGGCATTTTTATGAAAGTAAAAGGAGCACGTATCAAACTAAAAGGGGCACTTATCAAAGGTGAACAGTGGCACTCATCAAAATAGAAACAGAGCAAAGTAAAACGTGTACCTGTCAGATTTTAACTGGGGCAATTATCAGAGGTGAATAGAACACTTCTCAGAGGTGGTAAGGGGTACTTCTCGTACCTGAAAAGGGACACTTACCAGCATGGGTGCCGATCCCGGGGGGGGGGGGTGGGGGATATATCCCCCCCCGAATATTTCAGGTGGGGGGATGGCCTGTACAAGCACAAAAGTGCAAAAAAGGAAGTAGAGAGTGGGCGAGAGGGATAATGAGAGATAGAGAGGATACAGGCGTGTAGCCAGGGGGAGCGGTGGGGGCGGTCGCCCCCCCCCCAAAAAAAAAAAAAACACCGGCCAAAAAAAAAAGAGAGAGAGAGAAAGACGAAAGGAAGAGGACGTAGGAAGAAAAAGGATTAAGAGTCGAGAACTGTAATGAAACGTCAAAGCCTCCGCGCTTCGCGCGGGTAGGGGGGGGGGGAACTGAATTCAGACAAGGATTAAGAGTCAAGAATGGTACAACGAATCGTCTTCTTTCTTTAATAATTTCATGAAACGTCAAAAGAAACTGAATTTAAACAAGGATTAAGAGTCGAGAACGGTACAACGAACTTCTTCTTTCTCTAATAATTTAATGAAACGTCAAGGCTTCCACGCTTCGCGCGGGAAGGGGGGGGGGTGGGAACTGAATTCAGACAAGGATTAAGAGTCGAGAATGGTACAACGAATCGTCTTCTTTCTCTAATAATTTAATGAAACGTCAAAGCTATAACTACGAATATGTATGTTATTTAACTATGAAGCTATTACATTTTTATGACGTAAAGAATCTCGGAGAGATCGAAAAGCGCCATCTTAAAACCAATAGACCAAAGCAACATTGGAATTTGAAATTGAGATAAAACCTAACAAAGCTAAAGTTAACGGACGCCGTGTGAACTAAGCGAATGTCAACAATTATGATGGTCATGTTCAATGAATGAAGACAATTGGTCAATATTTGGTGATCAATAGACCATGTTCATTAGAGCGTGACCGAGTTCGGCCAGCTGTTTATTGGTAGTCTAGTCATACATAGACCTTGTAAGCAATCTCTTTCAATATTCGAGAGCGTGAAACAGTTCAATAAGATCATGCGTTCAAAATATATCAAGCATATATATATATGTGTCTGAACCAGATTTGTTAATATTTTACAATATATTATATATCCCAGCAAAATGTATTTCATATTTTGAATAGGATCGACTCTGAGTAGGCCTATTTAGTACTCCCTGCTCATGATGTGCCTATCTATACCGCTATTTACTTTTTAAAGACCTTATCCGATGAAAATACAACTTTATAATAATGGAAAGCTGAATGAACGTAGAAATTTAAATACAAATTTAAAGGTATAATTAAATTATTTTCCCCTTCAAACTTAGGACATGATATGCCAATAATGTAAAATAATGTTTGTATATAGGGCCTACTAAAACAGCCTCTTGAAGTGATTACTAAAATCTGTTTGATCATGATGAAAGCCCGCTGTTTTTCTAGACTACTAATCATCATGGTCAAGATGGTACCTGGCGAAGCATACAACTTCCTTCTTTTAGCGATGAACATGAATGAGCTAGTATAATCTGCTTGCAAAAGATAGGGGTCTATTATGTAACGGTTTGCCCCTACCATCACGCCTTTGTGCCATGAACCGGTACCCTAAGCCGGACATCAGACTGCCGCTAGACTTCGGGTCTAGTTGACCGCGAGAGACCGTTAGAGTCATGATTAGGTCCCCTTAGGGACTGAGAGCTTGCGAAGATTATTGGAGACGAGCTCGTTCCGGACCCATGTAGCCCTGGACCTCGTTGGAGCGGAGGACCAAGAACTTACTGCTTTCTGTTTTAGAATAGAACATTAAAACTTGTCAAAATCACGTTGAGACTTATCTTTAATGTACTTGTACGTACATATATTATGATAGCCAGGATCTGATGCGCCGTTTTAGATTTCACGCTTTTTGTCAGCTTTCTATCTTTGCTTCGTCGTTATAATTTATGCAAGCCAAAACACAACGTTTAGGGATGAAGTAGATCATTCCGCTTTGAAGTCGGTGTCCGTTTAAAGAGAAGCATCGTTTATTGAACTGTTTCTTCAATGCGCAATTTTCTACTCATACTTTAGAGAAATTCTTTTGAGAAAATGGAGAAATATTAGCTTTAAGGTAAAACAGATGGTAGCTGGAACCTGGAAGGTTCGATCACCGATCAAGTGGTAATGATCGTGGCCAGAAAGCCGTATACAGCATTCGCCCAAGTGTTCCAAAATGCCGCCCGTCAGTGAAGCAAAGACCAAGAATGAAATCCAGCAAGTTGGTAAGTTTTTTTAATTTTTAATCACTATTATTTATCATCATCATCACTGATTAAAGTCAGCATTTTCCCTCTTACGAGAGGTTACCGACTTTCGCGCCATGAGGATATACTCCCTCCCTCTACTTCTTCTTGTCTCGAGCATCCACTTCATTTAGACCAACCTGACTGCCTTATTTCTTCACCATATCTTCCAATGTAATGTTATAATATTTCTTTCTCTCTTATGCCATCCACTCCTTGTTATTTGCCAAGAGTTAGTTGTTTTGCTTGTTTTGCTTGACCGCCAAGACAGCATGCGTGTTGCGTTGTACGTATGTAAGCAACCCGGGGACCGACTGTTTTAAAGAGATGGTTCATTGAAATGTGGAAAATGGGCATATTACACCTCTACAGATTGCTGAGAACATTAACAAAATGAGCAAAGTAGTCTTGAAGCCCTCACTGTTGTGATGAATAAATTAAATGCAATTTTGTTACCCTTTCCCGAACCTACTCACAAAGTGAATTGACGGCGTTATTTTACATGCGAAACGGTGACGTCACAATATGAACAACCTACATCACACATTTGGGACTATGTTGGATACCCATTGCAATTTTCAGATATGGTTTAACGTTGTTTATATCTTTACCGCCAATGGTGATATTTTCTCTATTTTTGGCATTTTGAATGAGATACACTGAATAAATGATTCTTTCTCCAAATGTTTGTTTGATTTTTATATTTTTTCCCGTCACATTTGAGCATAAAAATCGGGAAACTAATCACATATTCTGAGGGCACTTCAGCGTGTATGTGTCTGATCTGGGAAGGCAAAGGACATTTTGCATGCTGGCCTAACGACTCTTTTGGAGTAAAATAGGCGACAAATTTACATAGAATTGTTCAAATATTCATTACAGCGAGGAACTTTGTAATGAGGATTACCAAGGAGAGGGCAAAAAAGAAAGGGGGAAAAGAAGAAGCAGGGAATAGAAAGAAAGTTGGACAAGATAGAGAAAACAAGAGAGTTGCTAGGTAGAATGAGATCTTTGTGCAGCAGTGAATGACGGAGAACCTGGATAAGGAAAGGGGGAAAGAGTGGCAGGACCGAGAAAGAGTGAGAGTGATGAGAAGAGAGGGAGAGTGGGGAGGCAAACAGGGAGAGAAAGAGAAAGAAGAAGAAGAGAGAGAGAGAGAGGTAGATACATTTCTATATGAATCAAATCCTGCCTTGTAAAGAAATAGAGAGACAGAGAAATAAAGAGAAAGAGAGGGGGAGGGAGAGGGCGGAAAAAGAAAGAACATTGGAATGAATAGAGATAGAGAGAGAGCTCGGTGCGGTAGAATATAACTGTGTCATTATATTGCATTTATACTTCTTCACCGTGGATAAAATGTCGACCAAGCAAGCTTCGAATTGAAAACACCAAGAGAGAGAAGGCCCCAACTCCATTTAAACGATTTTAAGTCATTAAAAAGTCATTACTTTATTTAAGAGACAGAACACACATACTTCCATATCCAAGGATTTTAAAAAAGGTGTTTACTTGATTAAGGGTTGTCAGAAGATGAGAACACTTTTCTCCGATTGACTTGGAAATAATATAGATATATTGACAGATATGAGAGGAATAGCTGTTTTTTAGGCTCAAGGGAATGTTACATCCTGCCATTACCCCGAGGCGCGCCTAAAGAGAGGTATGTCATAGGTTCTCCTCCGTTATACTCTCATGTATTCGATTGAAGCATCTAGTGCCCCGCAAATCGATTAAAAGCTTGCTGGCATTTAGATTTGAATATGGTAATTGAAACCTTTTTGATATATGAAGCTCTTTCTAAGACCTTTCATGAACTATACTGGAGACCTTCAAATTTCATATTTCAAATTAATTTCTTTTACCCTTTTTTCCGATTGAAAGAAACCTTCCGCACGAATATCCGGGAAGAGCACTATCGTGACGGGAAATCGAAATGGCAAACGAACATTTTCCCTTTTAATATCATAACCCGGTATATTCTTTCACTCAGATACTTTACAAGTCATGGAGTTAAGTTTTCAGTGCCAAAAGTTAAAGGCATCGTTTAACAATGTTAAATCTGAGATGCACGGCCCTACGTGTTATCATTTTATGTGATATTGTGTAATACTGAAGCCCTAAACAAACAAAAAAGCGCTTTAAAATGTTCAAGAAGTGCCTCAAAAAAGTAAAAATCTTTGAGTGACCGGTTTTACCATACTCGTTCCCCTAATAGAGTAGAGTGTAGAGTTATGAAAGCCGTTAGGCAAACGCCAAATTTGGCTTCGATTTCCAATCATAAATATCTTGATAATCATACAGGCGATCGGCTTGTAAAAGTCATGGGGTTCCTGACTGACCTAAAGGTTTATAATTATCACTAGCAGGACCCGCGGAATTCCGCGGGATTCTAGAGGGGGGCGGGGGGTGTAAATAGATATATAGAGACTGTCTAAATTAAAACCACCAAGAACTTTATTTGCCATTCAGGCCATTAAAAAAATATACATGTTTAGCGTCCCCGCCCGCTTTTTTTTAAAGTATTTTATTTTTTTATTTTTTTTTATTTTTGAAAGAAAAAAAACAGCGTTCCCGCCTGCTTTCTTTTTTGGGGGCCGCCTCCTATTTTTTTAAAATTTGTTTATTTATTTTTTTTTTTTGAAAGAAAAAAAACATGAAACTGCTAAAATGTATTTCTGATTTTAAAAAAGAAAAAAAAAAATTGTCGGCCGCCATCTTGAAAAAGAGCCTGAATGTCAGGAAAAATGTACGGAGCGGCCATTTTGAAAGAAAATAAAAAGAAAAAAAAAAGGGCCTCCTCCTTCCCATTTTTCGAAAAAACAGGAAGCTAAACATGTTTTTTTTTTAATTTGGCCTTATATAAAAATTAAAAAAACGATCCAACTGTACCGGTAGTTATTCTTTAAGCCACTGGAACTGCGTAGAGTTCCGTAGTGTGGCGTACCGACTACGCAGAAATTAGGCTGCGTATTAATGGGGAAATAGTCCCTGCGTAGGTTATGCGTAGGCTGGCGAAAAAAATTAAACAGGTTGAATTGTTTTCGTTCATCTTGCGTACCCCTTTCCGTCCCTCAGCATATAGTAACGTAGGCCAGCGTAGTTGTTACGCAACACTACGCAACTCTACGTATTGACCCCACGCCAATTAGTGACCCGCAAGTGTCACAAATAAAGTATTTAAAATATGCTCATCTGACCCTATACGCCTAAAACCCCCGAGCTTTCGGGGGTTTATGGCCCCTTGAAACCCGTGGACCCCACGCCTATATTATATATACACTCAACTCAGGACCCGCGGAAATCCGCGGGATTCTAGAGGGGGTGCGCAGGCAAAAAATTAAGTTTTTCATTTTGGGGGCTCCATTTCAAATTTTAGGGAAATTTTCGGGGGCTCTTTTTTCTGGGGCTACTTTTTCATTAATTCATATAAGGATAGGCCTACACTTTGTTGAGATTTGTTTAGTAGGCTATTAGGTTTCAGGCTTCCTACTTCATAATTGCCTATTTTAAAAAAAAAAACATTTTCTAGTTCAATAACTAAGTTTTCATGCATTGATTTGATGCAAGAACTGTAACATAATAGACCCTAGATTGTGATTATTTCTGACCATGAATTTCGATAATCATTTTTCAAAGTAAAATTTTCACAGGAAAATCAAACAGTCTTTTAAAAACGTAGACATTAGAGTCTAGTAATACTTTTACTAATTCTAAGCTCAGGTTTCGTAAATCTATTCACGAAACTATATTGAAATCGCGGCAATAATGATGCAAACCAACAGATAACAATTTCAAAGTGTCAAATCTCTTCGACTCGAATTCAACTCACACACTTTTAACTGCAACTCAGCTCATCTCACACACACTACACAGTGGCAATGCACTGTCAGTTACGGTGATTTTGTCTGATTTTCTTTACTTTGAAGAAATGATTATCAAAATTACGTAAACATGGCGAGAACATCACAAAATAGGCTTTAATTTCATACCTCTATTTATGGAAACTTTATAATATTGCAGCAATCGTGAATTCGTGATGGAAATTGATTGCAGTTTCGCGATGTTTAGTGGTTCATGGTCTAGATTCAGCTTCTACCAAATCAAAATCGACCGCCAAAAACTCGAGCCCTACGCTCCGTCTCGATCTCGCAACTGCGAAAATGTACGTGTTTTGGCGTGCTTGCGTGCGACATGGTAAGCCAGGTAAGGTATGGAATATGGTTCGAGTTCTTTTACGACCGATTTTTGTGTATACAATTTTATACGGATAGTCATCGGTCGTGTGTCTACGGATGTAATGTTGAATATCCATGAGGTATCTCTGTCGTCACGCATATCCTGCATTATGCATATCGCGTCTGTTTTCGCCCTGGACGTCGACACGGAGGAGGACCTCGGGCGGAGTATAGCCAATTCCACAGAGTAGACTCTCCCGCGGACGATGGCACAGGGCACGGGTACCCCGAGGGGAGGGTTCAGGAGGAGATAGCCGCACCAACTTCGGTCGGCGATCTCATTAAAAAACAATAGAATACAAAGGCTCGCCGAGACGCCGCGCCCCCCGCGGAGCCTTAGCGTATTATTATTATAGATTGCAGCATGAGCTTAACCCAGGATTTTGTTTCAGAATCTGAGACAAATATACCGGTTCCCTTTAAGGGCAGAAAGACTTTATGCTAACTGAAACTCAAAGTATTTCGATCTATGAATAGGAGATTGAAGGTCTCGAAAGCAAGATTCGTTTGTAAAGTTTAAGGCTGCAATTCGTTATTGATAAGGTACCTCGGTTTTGGTTTGTATGAGATCGAGCAAAATTGGTTTCAAAGATGACAGCAAATCGCTTCTTTTTTGCGAATATACATTTCAGATCTTTTTCATCACGAGATGATGAAAGGCCTAAGTGAAGTGACTATTTCACTTTGAATGTGTGGTCGATAGCTTTTAATAAAATGGTAATGACAAAATGCCCCACAATGATGTGCTGCTCCCATTTTTGTATTACTCTTATAATGTATCATCGAGATGTTTTACAGAGAAGAATTGGAAAAAAATGTTGAAACGTTATGGATTTTTATCCCGTTATGTGCACCGAAAAGAACTCCCTAATGACTAAATATAATAGCCAGACTCTAAAAGGTTTTCAAAGCAATATACTTATAGAGATATATTGATTGGCAGTAAAAAAATAAAAAAGAGAAGAAAGTTCACCAAATTGGAACGATCTTGATATTCTTCCTTGTGGAGAAGTGGAGCCCCTGTCAGGGAAACTTCCGTTTATGAAAACATGGACATTATTCCTGCAATATAGTGTTCGTGCATATCTCGACGGGTACAGTATTATTTTGCTTTATATAGAAAAACCTCATGATTTTTTACATGACCCATTAATTAAGAGAATTTTCTCGGCAGTTCAGACTACGTACCTCTAATGATGAGATTGGATGCAAATATAAAGTTAGATGGTATGTTTGGATCTCCTCATTTTGAGGCACGGTTTTCGTCTCTGTCGTCTATAGACTTGCGTAATATCTTTTTGTTTCCGTAATGCAAATTGTATACCTGACTTCGAACAAATTAGGACTCTTACGAAAAATCTCATTCAAGATCCAATGGTTCTCCTTTGGCAAATAATTTGCTACACTTCTCCAGCATGTTTACTGATATCTACATACTTCATTTGATTGTTGGTTGTTTAGCAATTGCCTTTGGGATTCCTGGCAACATAACAATCATCGTCGTCTTCGGTCGTCTAGGAATTAAGAATGCCACCGACATCACGTTTATCGCCCTCGCCGTTGTCGATCTCATCGCTAGCATCATCAACGGTTTGAAGATTTTGATGGTTTTCTTCCACGGAGACCATCCCTGGGCGTGTTTCATCGAGGTCATTGCAGCCAGGTCGGCCCTCTACGCTGGCCTCTTCCTGACCATCTGGATAGCGTTCTACCGCTACCAGGCTGTCTGTAAGCCATTCGCTAGACGAATCGGACGAAGAGCTGCCGTCTTGATCTCCGTCGCTTGCACTGTTGTCGCTTTCGGGCTCCATGTGCCGTTCTTCTTCATTACGACATCGATAAGACTCCGGAACGAATACGAATGCAATGTCTACGGCGGTGTACCCTGGGGGCGTGATGTGTATGCAAAAGCCCAAGCCGTTGTGTTTTGTGCTTCTGCCTTAGGTATTGCAGCCTTATACCTTCGCATCTACAAGTTCATTCGGACCCACCAGGTTATCCGCCAACAGATGATCACCGGATCTGCTGCATTTGGTGGTCAACCACGCGTTCGAGCTTTGGATGACGCCGTGTCATCACCGGGATCCATCCCTTCAGTAAGTGGTGCAGTGTCCTCAGCAGTTGGTTCCTTCTCGACTTCGGCAAAGCCCGTTGGAACCAAAGCCCAACCAAGCACTGTTCATGATGATGGACCAAACACGCAGGAAACCCAACGATCCAATGTTCGTGTTGGACCCAGCAAACAGACAACCCAACCAACCAACAATAAGCTAAAGCCATCATCAAAGAAGCTTCGGAACCACCCATCTGACCACAAAACCACTCAAGTCGTCATCATCATCACCGTCATATTTTTCCTCCTGTGGCTGCCCAACATTGTGCTTGATCAGATTCCACGTGATCTTTTCACTCGCATCCTTCAGAAGACCCACGTCACCATCTATTTCTTCTATCAAATTAATTACATCAGCCATATCACCAATGTCTTTGTTTATCTGTTCACTTATCGCCGCTTCAGACAGTCGTGTTGTAAGCTATGCAATTAATATCGAATTGAGGTTTGATTTCATTTGTAGTAATAGATTCATGCAGTTAACAACTAAATTATTCCTGCCCTTACCCAAAAAAAATCATCCCGATTTACGTTTCTTGAGAATGTGACATATTAAAGCTTACGTCTTAACAAATTCGACAAAGGCCCTACTCCAACCAATCCAACGTTTATTCTTAAATTCCGAAGAAGAAAAGAAAAATCCAATTTACGAGGGTTATGAATAGTTTGGTTGTTAACTGTTGAGTGAGTCATAACCTATTAAAGCTCCAATGTCTTAATAATCAAGTGAAATTGCTGAATATAAAGTTGGTGAATTCTTCTTTAATTTTGATAATTGCTAGGTAGTATATCCATGGATAAACCTCAAAGATGCTCAAGCTTGGGTACAGAGAGGGCAGCACACGGACGTGCGATACCTATGCCACCTTGCGAACTTGTTAACGCACGGGAGAGTAAAACCCGTTGGCTCAGTGTTATGTAGTGATCGCCAACATTACTTGCCTACGCTACGAACGACCGAGTCTAGTCGTGCCGCCCCCGATTTATTCCGAGTTTCGATTGACTGTTTGTAATTTAGTTTAAAAATATCAAATTTAGTGATATGTGATTAATTAAATATATCTAAAAAATAAAAATTCATATTATTATAGTTCTGTAAAATATATTTATTTACAATTTAATCTTGCAAGTTTTATTTGATATTTGATCGGAATTTGAAGATTATATTATGTATTATGGTCAAAGTCCGTCCGTTGTTGGATCACGTTTAGCGAGCACGCAACGCACGCGTACATGATTTCACTTTGTTTGCCCTGTACCTTCATTGCAAATGTTCAGGCAGACTACCTATGACTGTCAAAATGTACGATTATTATGATATTACGCGCGGTACTCCGAAACCGCTCCGATGTACACACTGAGTTTCCTTCGGGAGATGATCTTAATGCTCATGCCTTTGCTTTTGACTAGATAAAACACGGGGCAAAGATTTTCCGAACCGTATATGGCATTTATTTTGTAAAAACGTCGTAAATTATTAAAAAATAGGACTACATTTACTTAGTCGTGTTTGTCATTATGGTAAATTTGTATTATTAAAGTCACTAGTGTTTTAGACATTATCATAGCATTAATTGATTTAAATGAGTTCACTCTGTTGTTGTGACTGCAGATCTAACCGACACATCATCATCAACAGTCATCTGGAATTAAACCGAAACAATGTTTCTTAGAAATCAAAAAGACTTGAAGAAACGCCTCATAAAGCTCGCTTACATGCCAAAGGGAGATATTTTGGTTTAATAAGGATGATTTTACTAAGATGATTGTTGATAATGTGTCGGCTGATACTACAGTCGTAAAAACAGAGTGAACTCCGGTTCCAGTTAACAAAAATCTTGCTTTCAATGACTTGAAGCGAATATCTTTTATATTTTTCTATGATTAATAATTCTAGGCGGATTAGTGATACAGAACATACATGTACTTCTAAAATATTGTTTGCGATTATGATAGAATGTGTATCGCACATACATTTAGGTAATTCGAATTATGGCAAAACAAAGTTATACACGAAATGTTGGCCTCAAAATATGAAAAGGGAAGGTCTAAAACTGTATTTATTTCATAATTATTGTTGTTAAAACAATATTTTAAACTTCTGGATAGATAGAACCTACTTCTTACTTTAATTCCATTTCCCTGCACGAATCGTTACTATAATGTATCACTTGAAAATGTGCGTTCGATATATTTGTTAATTACGACTTTGTTCATTTTCTGCACACATCAATAAAATAATAGAGGGTGTGACGCCTTTTCTATTTTAAGCCAACATTTAAAAATGCTGTGCTACTTATCACTTATCATGACCCCGAACAATTTAGAAATCTAACTTTGTTTGATTTGTCAATGAACAGAAAACTTAGAGATTAATGCATCCCAAAGGGAAAGTCCACCCTGGTATTAAGTTGGTTTTAAAGCTTATCAACACTAGTGTGGCTAGGAGGGATTAGACCACACAGCGAGGTCACTGACAGGTGGCTATCTTATCAACTCAGCTCTCAAATAACATAATAAATAGAGGATAGAAGATAGAGGCAACGATCGGGGAAGTTTTCTATATAGAGGGAGCAAGTATCTACAAGTTGGACAGTGGGGCTTTAAAGGTATTATGTCCCATTTGCAGCCACCATCAAATTATGTCGAACTTTGCAGGAATTATGAATATGTCACGTATGTCCTATCTGTGAAATTTAAATGTTAGCAGTTTTTTATCATTCAAATTATGCAAGGAAACCCGTTTACTTTCTAGACTTCACTATCAGACACTTTTGAGTGAGTGACTGACTTCTTCTTTTTTCTGTGTTAATAACATACATTAAATAAGCTGTAAAGTCACACGCGCATTTGTCTACATCAATAACCCACTTTCTTGTAATGATCAAATTTAAACTGATTGAATCTTTGCTCAGCTCAAAACATACGACAATTCGGTACAAGGGTCTGAACATCAGAATATTACTAAAATGATTGCAATCACTGAAGTCGATTCGACAAGTAATGCTCTTTATTTCCCCCCTAAAAGACATGTTCAAGCCCTTTCGTTTTGAGGAAAGTTCTAAATTAGTATTATATTGCAAATGCCCTTGGAATTTAACCTTTTCATTTTTTGGGCCTGCGAATTGGACATTGTACCTTTAATACAATCAGAAAAAAATAAAGAAACAAATAAGTGTAAGTTTGAACAATAGCAGATAATAATTAGGAAATTTATGAATTTGTGAAATTGTCATCATCAGTAAAACACAAATCGGCAACACTGTTACGTATCTTGCGAGCTTCTCTTCAATTTCCAACGTCATAAACGTTCATTTTCTTAGTTATTGATGGCGGAATAGATTTGTTTCACACAGGGGTTGTCAAAATCACGTGGAGATTTATCTGTCATTTTAGGTATGGTATGTACATACATTGTGATATCCAGGTTCTGACGCGCCGTTTTAAATTGTACGCTTTCTGTGGCTTTCTGTCTTCGCACCATCGTTATGCAAGCCAATGCCCAACGTTTTTGGATGAAGGAGAGAATTCCGCTTTAAGTCGGTGGCCGTTAAAAAGAAGCATCGTTTATTGAATTGTTTTTTCAAAGCGAAATTTTCTCCACAGACTTTAGAGACATTGATAAAATGGAGAAATATTAGCTTAATTAAAGGGAAAACAGATGGTAGCTGGAACCTGGAAGGTTCGATCGCCGATCAAGTAGTAATGAACTAGTGATCAAGGCCAGAAAGCCGTAGACAGCATTTGCCCTAGTGTTCCAAAATGCCGCACGTCAGTGAAAAAAAGACCAAGAATAATATATATATACATGATAAAGTTTACCTTGCCTTCTTCTTTGTATTAAAACCTATGAATGATGTTTTTAATTTACATGTAGGCCTCTTTGCCTATATGAGGTGTTTTGGTCTAGTGGATAATAATAACAATAATATTGGATATTTATATAGCGCACATATCCACCATGCATGGTGCTCAAGGCGCTCCAACTATTACTCCGGCTCTGCTAGGCAGCCGATTTCGGCGCTCACATCATTCAAGTAATTCCTTCCTACCGGAAGGATAAGTCACCCGACTGCAGATCACAAGGTACGGGGTTCAAATCCCAGCCCGACACTAATGAACTATGGCAAGACGTTAACCTACATTTGCCACTCTCCACCCAGGCGTTTATTGGGTAAAAGGTAGGATGCGAAATTTGATGTAGTTTGCTCAGCATTGGGAGTGTCTGTAAAATGACGTCTGGCTGGAATGCTCCCCAGGGAGTGGAGAATTTGCATACATGTGTGCGAACAAGCCTGAATCCGACGACCAGTGTTATAATATATCTGTAAAGCGCTTAGAGATATCGTTGATGTATTAAGCGCTATATAAAAGCGGAATATTATTAATTTTTTCTCACTGTTATTTATCATCATCATCACTATATAAAGTAAACATTTTCCCTCTTACGAGGAGTTACTCATGTGTGCACCATCAGGGACGGATCTAGGGGTGGGGGCACAGGGGGCACGTGTCCCCCCCCCCCCCCGGCCAACAAACAAAAACACAAAAAATTAGTGCACGCGTGTCAAATGAAGTGTATAGAATACTCTGGTAAATTTAATATTTAAAAAAATCACTCATTTGCATATTTATGGTAATTTATGCAAATAAGGTCATAAAATCTACCTTTTTACCCATAAATCACATATTCTTTATATTTAAGCATTCTTTTTCACTAAATGTATTCGTTAGACCATTTGAAACAATAATACGACCAAATAAATTTGGAAGAGCTAGGTTACTCCTTATGTTATCTCTTGTTTTGATAATTTCTTATGTATTTCATTGTTTTTCTTTAACTTATGTATATTTTTTATCATTTCTAACTACAATTCAACTATGTTGACTCCCAAAACAAACACCTCAACTTTAAACATGACCCAATAACCAATGTTTTATCTCTTTTTAGGAAAAATGACATTTCCATATGTTTTGTACACAAATCACGAAAATGAGCGATTTTCGGGCTGACCTGCAAAAACAAAAGGTCACGTGACTTTGTAACTGTAGGTCCGATTTAAAAAAAAAACGTTTTAAAAGATGCGCAAGACTCGGAAGCAAAAAGTCAGTGAGCGGCGGGGCGACAAAAATCGCGGAGGGGGGGGGGGGCATAATGCCCCCCCCGGCCTTATTAGGGTTAATGCCTTACCAAAGGGCACCAGTGCGTCGACTTGGTTTCGAACCCGGGACCTCCCAGATACGAGACCACTGAGCCGCCACCCCTCCAATTATTTTCCCGTGTGTCTTCTCCTCCTCTTCCTTCCTGTTTTGGTCCACTACTGATTTTTTAAAGTTATTTCTATATTACACGGGAAGTCCACCCTGATAATAACTTGGTTTTAATAGAAGTATTAAAACAGGTCAATGAAAGTTTGATCAAAAACTGATTGATTAAAATAAGAAAGTTATTAACTTTTGAAGGTGCGAGCAATCATACACAGATTGGCAACTATGTGACGTATCTTGCAAGGTCCCCTCTCATTTACCCTGAACTACACAGAACTTCACACATTCATATCTTCCCTTAAGAAAATGTTCAATCATGCATTCACCCCTAAATATGATTATTGCAGATTTGTTTTTA